CCAAGTCCTATAGCCTGCACCAGCAGCCAGGCCTCTGACATGGAACTAAGCCCCTACCTCAACCTCTCCCACATCTACCCTATGAGGGAACCAGACACAGCACAACTGCTACCAATGCCAGAGAGTGCCAGAAGGAGGCTCTGGGTCTGGATCCCTTCTCCAGCTCTCATTAGAACTGCCCCCACCTCTCCAGGGATCCCTGCTCATATGCAAGGCTGAGACATGCAGGGAAAAGCCAGATGTATCTGGCCCTGACACAAATGTCATGCAATAGACAGGGGTTGAGCTTCTGGGAAGCCCATCCTTGAGACATAGGCTAGTACCTTCTTTGAGAGGCCCCTGTGGGGAATGGGAGACAGACAGGACCAGCCTCTTTAAGGACAAGGCAATTGCTCCAAAAATATTTAAAATGTCTAGTAATCTCCATGCCCAATTTCATTCCTCCCTCTGAAACAGGATTATGGGGACAGCCTCCGCAAGGGAAATAAATAAACAAACAAATCAGCACTCATTTCCACTGTTCACCTTCATGGAGTGCAGCATATCAGGTAATTCTCAATGCTCGGTTCCCCCGCTCACCTTCACAGAAAGCAGCATGACAGATCAGTGTAGAAAACACCAGGCCACAGACATATGCTGATCAGAGCTGGGCAAAACTTTTTGCACCAGCATGTATTTTTCAGTGAAAATGAAGATTTGATGAAACATTTTGTGAATTCATATCAGTTTTGCCTAATTGTTTCAGCTGAAAAAACAAAAATGCCCTCCCACCCACAAGAAAAAAAAAAACATTTGCTTTTGACATTTTTGAAAAACTTTTTTTTTTTTTGGGGGGGGGGGGGTTAAAATGACTTTTTGTTTAATAATTTCCTTGCATTTTTTTTAAAGGTTGAAATCATAGATTCATAGGATTAGAATGGACTGCAAGGGTCATCTAGCCTGACCCACTGCCAAGATGTAGGATTTGTTGTCTAAACCATCCAAGACAGATGACTATCCAGCCTCTTTTTGAAAACCTCCAATGAGGGAGCTTCCCCAACCTCCCTAGGCAGTCTGTTCCATTGTCCTGCTGTTCTGAGAGTTAGGAAGTTTTTTCTGAGGTTTAAACTAAATCTGCTATGCTGTAGTTTGAACCCATTGTCTCTTGGCCTGCCCTTTGTGGCAAGAGAGAACAACTTTTCTCCATTTTTTTATGGCAGCCTTTCAAGTATTTGAAGTCCGCTATCATATTCCTCCTTAATCGCCTCTTTTCCAAACTAAGCATACCCGGTTCCTTCAGACTTTGCTCATATGTCTTGCATTCCATCCCTTTGGTCATCTTTGTCAACCTGAACAGTTTTTTTGACCCAAAACATTTTTTAAAAGTTGAAATTCTCTGGAAATTTAAAAACAAAATCATTTTTTCCTTCAATCCATTGCTCCCCATTTCTTTTGGAATTGCCAGTGAACAAAAAAAAAAACAACCAAACAGTTATTTGCACAACTCTAGTATGGATCCCTCTAGGCCCACACACCCCTCCCCCACAGGGAGTTCTTCCTCCTTAGAGGAGGAAAGACAACCATCAAAATCAGAGTTAAAGAATAAAATTTTACTATATATATATCTTAGACAGACTGTTTCAGGAAAAAGTATAGAGTATTATGAAACTACCTATAGGAGGTCTGCAGTTGCCCTAAACAAGCTCTAGCTATATATCCCTCCTCATGCACCCTGAGAAGGTGTAATATAGCAATAGGGATTTCCTGACACACTGAAGAGATTGGTCACCAAGATGTAATGTCCAGATTTTTGTTTCCATCTTCTGTTACAGGTTCCCTCGCTACCACCTTCACTTCTTCTCTCAGCTGATGGCTAGCTAGGAAGTGATTAGATGGATAGCAGCCTAGAGGCTGAAGAACTGGCAGTCAGTATGGGGCTGCTTGGCCCACCATTTATTTCTTTCAGCTCCTCCCCATCCCCGGCTTCTATTTTATAAGTCCCAAAATAGAGCTGGTCAAAAGCTTGTCTGCACCCCCCACCCCATAGAGCCGTGAGCGGGGTCACGGCTCTGAGAGGAGAAACACGGACAGGGGTAAAGTGGCCAAGGCTGGGGCCACAGCTAGTGGGGGGGGGGCAGGAGCATACCCTCGGATGGGGGCTAAGGCTTGTGGCCTCTCATGGAGTCCCAGGCATGGGACAGGCAGCCAGAACCCCAGGCATGGGGCCAGCAGCTGTGACCAGATCCCCTGGCGCAGGGCCGGCAGCTGGGGCTGGTGCCAGAAGCAGAGCTGGGTGGCACTCCCTTCCCACCCCTGTGGGGGGCTGGTCTGGGCCCCAGCCACTCCCCTGCAAACGTTAGCCCATGCCCCCTTAGGAGGTGCACACCACAGATTGAAGACCTCTGGTCTAGAGTCACCAGAAAAGTTGATATACAATCCTGACCCCTGCCAGACACTGTAGAAAGGAATACAGGTCATATGGCAAGTTGAAGCAGTCCATGAAGTACAATAGGAGACATACTTCTTTGCAAGTGGTAGCTAGAGCAATTACAGGGTTAGTAGCTGCCCTCTATTGCCTCCAAGCTATCTGTAGGTCTCCCAACCAGCCTCATCTGGAGTTAGTCCTATGACAGATGCCAGACACTTTCATTTTGGAAGCACAAGGGCACTTGTAGTTTTGATCAGATGAGGTCACTGGACATTTGTGGAGCTGTGCAAGAGTTTTATAAAAAGCTTTACCCCACTCTCCATCTCAGCAGCTCATAGAAACACCACAATGGGAATGAAATCATCCATCATCTACTTCAGACTGGAGCATTGTAATACATTCCACATCCTATTTCTAGCCTCAGCGAATCAAGGGCAAGCAGAGTATGGCCCTACCTGAAACACCACAGTAAGTTCCTAAAGGAGTCTTGTCTTCAAAGTATTAACATTTAACAATCCTCATAACACAATCCTTATATTTTGCAGATGATGGTAGCCTTTTCCCTTTTCCCAACTTCAGTCATTACAATGTGATCTTACCTATGCTCCCAGAGTCTCTTACCAGAAATTCACTTATCTCTTCCCAGAAATTTTTTCTGATCAGGGTTCTGTGCAGAGAGGAAGCTGAAGCAAACACAAAGAGTGACATGGTTTCCGGAGTATCTTGGTTTCAGGAGAAAACAGACACATGGTGCCAGGAAAGTCAATCACAAGCCTGGGGTGAGGATGAATACTATCCGGTACAAGGTCTCATCTCCATGTTAACACAAGTTGGAAAATAAATGGTGTCACCGAAGCAAAAATCCAGTGCTTATTGGAGACACAATACAAACATATCATATATATCTGCTTGTGCAACATTCGCTCCCTTTGTGCACATGGTGACACTCTGGAATCTTGGATTCCATTCCAGTCTCTGTAGGGGAGTGATCTCCAGTGAGCACAGGCTCTTCTTTTCATTTCCCAAATCTTCCCCAAGCTTGACCTTTTCTGCTCCACCCTCTCTAACCTGTCCCTGTCCCAGTCCTGTCTCTTCCCCACCCTGACTCCCTGCCCCAGTCCTGATCTTCCTTACCCATTCCCTGTCTCCACTCCTCAGGCTTTTTATCCCAGTCTGTCTCCTTACCTAGCCAATTCTAGTCTCCCACTCTGGCCTTGCTCGCTAAGTCGCAGTTGTCATGTTGTCTGGAGTGGCTCACAACTGTGAGTGCCAGTTTTAGGTCAGACTGTCAGAAAAAAAGGGCAGAAACCCCAAACTGGTGGTATGTTCTATAATTAGATTTCACCAAGCCAGTAACAAATGTGAACTCCTGGATCACTATACCAGTCTTACCATGGAGTGTCAGACAGTCCCCATAGGCTCTCCAGTCTAGCTTGCCCCTCAGACAAACTGGACTTAGCGATAATGGTCACTATAAACCCAAAATCACACTACATCAAGTTTCTCCCAGTCCCAAAGGACCAGTCACTTACTCCCAGATCAACTGGTTCTCTGGATCTCACACCAAAGACAATGCTGGCAGCTGATGTTCAAATAAATGTAAGCCCCCAAAGTACTGCCTTTCTTGTCACCAGCACATGTCCTGCATATGTTCACTCTAAAGCTTACTAGATTTATGCAGAGGCTACACCTGGGTTAATTCTGGCATTATGTGTCTCCTCATTTCCATGACTCAGAGTTTATGTATAGAGATTATCAAATGTCAAATGCAAATGTAACATGGATCCACACAGTATAAATAGTGTCTTGTTGATATCGAGCAGACTATTCCCTTTAAATGTTAATGAAACTGTTGTAATTCCTGAAGCATCAAAACAACTCAGGAGCTAGAGTTCATAGCTGTAACCCGTTATTTGTAAATTGCTTAGCACTATGTCAATTGGAAGATAGAGCTGTGCAAGAACTTCCTCATTTACTTTCCTTTTAGCTAAGTGAAGAATTGCATTTTAGAGAAAATGAAATGACCGTTTGGACATGTCACTGGGAGATAAGCATCTTTTTTTTTAATCTTTTTATTTTGTCATTAGAGTCTGGGCAGAAGTGCTGAATATCAGGGAATACAATGAAAGAGAATAAAACTCACTAGAACTGATACATTTTGCATGAAATCCTAGAAATTCAGATCTCTTTTACCTTGCTGACTCTATTCAAAAGCAGGCAAGCAGGCTGGGAGAGAAGCTAGTTAAACAGTGTTTTTATTTTTGTGTTGTTTTTTCAACAGACCAGTGGCAGAGATGCAATTAAAAGGAAAATGAAGTACTTGAACAGGCACAGTGCCCTCAAGACAGAAAAATATGTAACTGCTATGCAAGCATAACTAGGCAGTAAAGAACTAGTGATGTCTATACTAAAGAAGACTGGTGACACATTGATTCTTTGATCTGTGAACTGTGTGACAGGCTTGCAAATGAGTAGTTTATTAGCCTGGAGGTGAATTTTTTTTTAAAGGACCAAGAAAGTATGAGGGTACAACACAATTCTCCACAGTTAATATGAGTAAAACAGGAATTTAGATGTGTGCCAAGGACTGGATTTGGGAGGAGTTAGCCCCATTTTGTGGGAAAGTTGTGCATATGTATATGCAGTACCGTGACTTAGTCAGATGGTTGCGGCGGCTGCATCTGGGAAGATCTGTAATGAAGCTGACCATCGACTTGGCAAATCCTCTTATTTCACCTTCTGATAACATTGAGGGTGGCCTGAGACAGACCACGATCTTTCCCTTTTTTCGCAGAGGATCACTATTGTTACACTCCATTTAAATTCAGGAATAAGCATCTCATGTCGCCATACTCCACTGCATTGGACCTGTATGAGCAAGGCGGTCTTGGGGAGAGAGACTTTCCATGCTGAGAAAAGAAAGACGCAAAGGGGTTTTTTTTGAAACACAGAAATTCTGCTTGAAGCTATCGAATCAATATTTCGGTAAGCCTTGTATCCACAGCAACATATTTATTTGTATGAACAGCAGAGCCAGGTAATTTTGGTGTTGTTCCGACGCTGATCTGTTGTTGCTCGGATCACGTAGGGAATTCCAAAGAGCAAAAATCTTCATCACTGACAAATAACTCGCCTTTGACAGAGGCTTATACCTTACCTAAGCTTATTTATCTGAGTAGTCTCTTCTTCAGCACTGACACTGGATTTCTTTTCTCTCAGCAACTTTTAAACATGTCTTTGGTATGCAGTGAACTGTTGTGCTTGCTGCCATGTTTTGTTTTATTTATTTATTCATAAAGAGGTCTCTTAGCTGTAAGCAGATGACAAATAGTGCATTCAAGGACAGAAAATTCATTTAAAGGAGGTAGGGAATATTCTCTGTGCTCTCGGAACGCAAAGGCTGGCCCTACATGGGAGGAAGTTCCTTGGACTTTCTCCACCACTACCACTATTATGCACCTTGTCTCAGCACCAGACACAATTTAGCCCCAAGAAGCCAGTCGTGCACACCCATGAAAATGATGGTAGGATAAACTCTGCAATTAGAATTGGACCACCATTATAAGTATTCAGGGGAGATTTTCTTAGAGACCTCAAGGAATATTATTAGGGAAATGAAAAGGAAAGAGTTTGTTGAAATGAACAGATCATTACAATGGGGTACATGGAAATTTCACCTTACATGGAAAGAGGTAGTTACGATAAAAATGCAAAAATGATCTTCTATCTGAGTTACATGCAAGAGAAATTCTGAACTACTTACATTCAGATTTCTGCAAATAATCCAGTGATTAAAAAGTCTCTTTTCTCTTAGTATGATAATATGGTAAGGAGCTACACAGGGTCACATCAACTTAATTTCTGGACTTTGCTTTGGATGTGCAATATATTCCCAGCAAAGCAGTAGATTCTAAGGATTGATACCACACATCCTGGTCTTCTTCTGAAATCTCTGGAGTTGTGATAAATCCTCATGGCTCTGTATTTTGTAAGAAGAGATTTTCAAGAGTGGCATGTTACACCTTTCATATTTTGAAGATAAAAGAATTGCATTGTGGTGGCTTGGCAGTTATCAATTCTACTTGGCATTAATAATCAAACATAATTAAAAGCTACAGGAAAATAATCTTACAAAACAAAGGTATATACATTAAACAATGAAAAAGTGTCTGAATCCATTATGCCTAATGACCAAAAATTTACGTCTGAGTGTAAACCAAAATAAGATATATACGTTTTGTTTGTTTGTTTTTAAGTTTTGTGTTATCCTGTAGTCTCCATCGTCACCATGGAGAACTTCAATGAGCACTAAGGATAGAATGACAGCCATCCTAATAGGATCATTTTTGGCTAAAGGTACAAAATATAAATACATTAGGAACATAGATTGCCATTCAGGATGAAACCAATGGTCCCTCTGGTCCAATATCTGACAGTAGCCTGTGGCCAGTATCAACCACTTCCTAGGTGCAAGAAACCCTGCATTGGAAATTATGGAATAAAGGGTTCATGGAAAGTTCCTTCCTAATGGCAATCATTAGAAGTTGGGTTATGCCCTGAAGCATGTGGGTTTACATTCATTCCAAATGCTGGGGATTTTGTGAGGTTGTTTGTTGTCATATGTTTGGCTGGAATATTTTTTAATCCTATCCAGGGTAAATGTGGATATTTTCATAATTGATATAAATGTCTAATACTGTTAAACTGTTGGTCTTAATCACATCATGTAGCAAAGAGTTCTTGAACTTGGTTAATTTCTGGCATTCCACACAACACCATATGAGGCCCATATGAGCTGGAGACAGCTGTGTGTTGTAAATTTTGCTTTGAGTTAAAACTCATGTTGAGAAATTAGAATCACTATAATTTGTAAATGTTTTGGACCTAAACCCTCTTCATAGTCTCCCAACCCTACTTCAATCAATTTTGCAGAAGATCCAGCTTAATGTGTCCATAGCAACTAAAACTTGATTTCATTAAATTACCTTGACAACAGTTTTTTGTTTGATGTGTTGTCACAAGGCCAGAACCTCTGCTCCTTACTAAAGAAATTTTCCTTCAGTGGGAATTTTGTCTTAGAATCCAGTGCAAGATTGGGCTCTTTGCTTCAAATCCTCCCATCCAACAAATGCTGTGAACAACAATCTGTGCCTTCACCTACTAGGTATTCATGCACATGAATCTACCTCTCCAACCAGGTGATACCCATTGCAATCAGTCATCCCGAATCCTGGTGCAGAGCAGACCACACTATTTTCCGTTACCAGGGGATTCTCCATCTCAGCAACGATGGAGGTAGGGCAAGGGTGGGTCCCTTAGTAAATAAGTGCCTCTTTTTAATGTAAATTTAACCCTGAGACTTGAAATAGCCGGATCAAAATTCGCTGCGAAGTTTTTCTTAAAAAGTGATTGCAAGTTAGTCTCAATTCTTATGAGGCATCTATAAAAACTCTGAAATAAAATAGAAGCCAATTAAAAAAAATATGTTATCCCACCTGTAAATATGGAAGGAGGTATGTAGTAAATTGATTGCAATGTATGTTTTGTTTAATAGGCTATCACTAATGTCCTATAGAAAGGTAATTAAAAAAGAATGCATTTGGCAGTAAAAAAATTTGTCCATCAAAGAAAGAAGTTCAGGAATGGTAATTTTACAGAATTCCCAGCTCTCATGGATTTTGCATGTGGGATGGATGGTCACATGATGAATCATTCTATCTTTCTCATAGTTTCTGCTGATTCACTGTTTGTTTGTTGTTTTTTAAGAAGTTGGTAACATTGGACTGAGGAAAACAGAATCAGTGGGAAATCAAAGAATTGCCACATAGGTATGAAGAAAAGGTTTGAAGAATCTTCAAGGTGTGTTGTCAGGCCATAGCAACCACCACACATCCCTTGATCTAAAACTAAAGCCAAAGCCATCCGCAAGCTCTGAGCTCTAGCAGTCAAAGTCTTCATTAGGACTGTGATCATTCAACAAGCAGAAGAAAGTTTCTTTGGAGCTAATTCAATTTGTTCCTGTCCACATCCGTATTCAGCTGTAGAAACCCATTCTTAGCTCAAACAGCGGCTTTCCTAGCTGAAAGCAAATGTAACATTTTATTAAGCCAGATTTGTATCAGGTAGATCATGGTCATTGTGTATTTCTATGGCCAACAGCATATAAAAAGCAGCAGAGCAGCTAACCACTGATAACAAACAGACTCCTCTATTTCAGAGGTTGCTTCATTAAAACCGTTGGTCTTCAAGTAGGGGAAAGCTTGCAGACAGCTGTATAAAAACCACCACAAACTGACTTTTTTCCACTGCTTTTTTACCTCATGCACAATGGGAAAGCCACAGTTTCAACTGAATTTTTCCCTCAGATTTTAAGCAAAACCTATGCACATAATACTAAGTACGACATACTTATTCAAAATCTATACAACTAAATGTGTGGCCTGTTTGTTACAGGGATGAGAATGAAAAGACAAATCAACAAGACACTTTTTTTTTCCTCCTGACTCTTCTTCCAAGAATAATTCTCTCTATATGACATAATCTTCCTTCTATTGGCTGTTGAGCCACACTAGCATTTTGCCATCCTTAACTTGCCCTCTAAATACAGTACCTACCAACACAGAAGACAGTGGTTAGGATGCGTCTCAACAGACCATCTATTTCATACTCAAAAGTATAATACAGGTAATCAGAATTAAGCACACACTTAATTTTTTGAAACTGTATTAGCAGAGAACCAGCCAATCCTCAGCATCTGGGGACTTTTGCGCTTATGTGGTATTTGGCCTTTTACTACCACTGGCACTTGACCTTTCCTTGGCAGTTACATATACAGTGCCTGAAAGTCAGTTGGCATCCCATGGACACCATGAACATTATGTATTGTCCTTTCATAACGGTAAGTCACATATGTATACCAATGCTTTAAAATACCAGACTGACAGAGCAAAATCTAGGTTCCATTTAAATCAGTAGCAAAACACTTACTAATGATATCAAGAGGACCAATATTTGGCTTTTAGGATGAAATACTGTGGTGTTCTTATATGGTGGCTGATATAGCCCTGACTGAGCACTGCACCCCCGCCCCTCCCAGTGGATTGTCATCCGTCTGTTATATTAGACTCAACTTTTGGATCCCACTTGCTGCTGAGCTACCTGGGGCTTGATAGTGACTGATCAATGCTTCTGGCTCACTCAAGTGCACACTCCAGGTTCAGACCCCTTGTCTGATACCCCTCTTGATGGTGAGATTCCACAGTCCAGCCACCTAGACCATGGAACCAAGGATTCCTCGGCTTCCCAAGTCCTCAGTTGCTTATGAATGCTCTCCCCAGAGTCCACCCCTGTGGGCACCCTGGATTATAGTTTAACTCACTGCGGACCATGTGGTAGTTAAAATAAGGACAACAGGCTGTGCAAAGGAATTTCTTGAACATACACACTTTACTTATAGACAGGAGAAGAGAGTTACAGATCTAGACAAAACAACAGGCACCTGAAGGCAATCCCCTTTAGTCTGGTCTCACCCCACTTTTGTGGATCTCTGGGTTTGGTCCAAGTTCTTATGGGAGACCAGGTACCTCCTGCCTCCACTCCTTTTCCTGGGGCTTCTGGATCTGACAATGACATAGCATCTTTTGCTTAGAGAACATGCTATTTTAAAGTAGTGTGTGACACCTTGTTCCTGTGATTCCACAGAGATCTTCCATGCTGCAACCCCATACAAGATTGTTGGCAGAGAGTCATTAAAAGTCTCTGACTCTACCTGGAGCAATGCCATTGTTTTGACAGTGCAAAGCTAGCCAGTGTTGATGACTCCTTCATGGCTCTGATTCAGTTGTTTCTGCTACAAAATGGACGTTCTAATTTACAGTGAAGTTTACAATCCTAAATGCTGTTCATTAACAAAAATGATATCATAATTGGACACAGACATATTGCCCAAACTGTCACAAGCCATCGTCAAGGTCCTATGCTTTCTC